TGAACAGCAGGCCCCTACCTTATCTAAAGAAATATTGACAACTGATTGCTGCTAGATGAGGAACAGCTGATCTCCCTAAAATAAGGATCTCTAGATAGACTGACTAGGTTCAGCAGATGGACAAGCACCGGGGAACAGCTGGGGGCGCCGACAACACAGTGGACAGTAACAGGGATAACAGAGTATATGGGCTCCAGTGGGGGGGGGAGCTATGAGAGGGTGCCATTTGGGATGTAGGTATATAGATGAATAAGATTGTTTGGGATGTTCTGTATGAAATACAAAAAAAAATCAATAAATAAAAAAAATGAGTTATATTTGACGAAGAAGCATAAAAAATTGCTTCATGTTAATTAGTAGAGGAGAGAAACATTACCATTGAAATCTATCTGATGACTTTATATCCATATTCAGGTGCCAAGGATCCGAGTGTAACCAACTGTAACTAGTAATAATCAGATACATAGAGATCAGAGACACATGTGCAAATATGTGTTAATAGCATTAAAAATGAGTTTTTCTGTATGAACAATATATTTTAAAATGAGATGGAGATCTATTTTAAAGGTTAAAACCTCATTCAATTTTATGTCTTATAGGGCTTATGCTGAGTTCAATATTGTACAATTGTATTAATTCCACTGTGAACCTAAAAAATTGCAGCCAATTTTGAAAGAGATGCATCTTTGCTTTGAATGTTAATGCTGTAATGAAATACTTCTTCTAATAATGTGGTTATAAAATAAGTATTTTTTTAAAAAAGCTTATCTTCAAAAACATTAAGCTACTTCATCAATGATAGCATACTTTTCCTAGAGAGTTCTGGGTCTGCAGTTAATATGAGGGGTACTTTAAGTTCTAGGAAGAGAACAGATGTACCTTCAAGATTGAGACTTTCCTAAACTCTCCAAAGCAAGGCTAGAAATGCATGTGTCTCATTAAGTGAGAATCTGCTACTGTTAAACTTGCAGCAGCTACCTTCAAATTGAAGTAGGCTTCAGAATTCAATAAGCAAGGGCTTAGAGTAACTCAGATTTAAATTCTAATTTTAAGAAAATATGGAGAAGCATCAGGTTCCTATCTGATTGGTTCCTTCAAATGTCCTAGCTGAGTAACGTCTGTTATTTGATTCATTTACTTCACAAATCCATTGCTTTGCTAGATTCATGGATGGTGACTTTGTGGTGGTTTCATTTCCCTTGTATTTCTTAATTACTTTGTTTGTTTTATGCTACTAACATGATGCTGGATCATTCCTATCAGTGTTCACAGGTTGAATCACACATGTCACAAATCCTGACAGTTAATAATTAAAGCATTTAAATAAAAGAAGAAGAAGGAAGAGGAGGAGGAGGAGGAGGATGCTGAAGATAGCACTTAGGTTGCCTAAGATAGCACTCCTACGAAGAAGAAGGAAGAAGAAGAAGAAGAAGGAGGAGGAGGAGGAGAAGAATTTGGCTATTTTAATATTGTTTTACTTTTAATTCTCTCTCTCTCTCTCTCTCTCTCTCTCTCTCTCTCTCTCTCTCTCTGGAGGGGGTGCATGAGTATGTGTGTATGAGCACAGGTACTTAGGGAAGCCAGAAGAGACTGTCAGATCCTGTAGAGCTGGAGTTACAGGCAGTTCTGAGCTGCCCTATGTGGGTGCTGGGAACCAAACTCAGGTCTTTTGCATGAGCAGGACATGCTCTTAACTGCTGAGCCATTTCTTCAGTCCCAGATAACACATAATAGTGGAATCACACAGTATTTGTCCTTTTGTAGCAGGTATATTTCATTTAGCACAATATCCTTAAGTTTCATCCATATTTTCACAGGTTACAGACTGTTACTCCTTTTTAGGGCTGAGCAACATTCCATGGTGGGTATACAGCAGTTTCTTTGTATACTCATCTGTCCGTGGGCATTTAGGTTGCTTGCCATCTTGGCTTCTGTGCATAGTACTGCTGTGAACGTGGTAGTACAATGTACTTCGATATCAGGAGATGTAACATCTCTAGCTTTGTTCTTCCTCAAGATTGATTTAGTTTTTTTGGGGGGGGGAACATTGAATTTCATAGAACAAAATACATTTTAAAAAGGAGAGCCGGGCATGGTGGTGCATGCCTGTAGTCCCAGCACTTGGGAGGCAGAGGCAGGCAGATCTCTGTGAGTTCAAGGCCTGTGTGGTCTACATAGTGAGTTCCAGGACAGCTGGGGCTACAGGAAGACC